CAGGCGGGAGGACGGGGCTCCCCGGCATCAGTGGGTCGTGCTTAACTTGGGGTGCTGCTGGCCACCACCTCCCTGGGGCTGTCCTCATGGCGACCTGGGCTGGGACGCTCAGATGCGGACGTCTGCACCCCCACAGCCAGCTGGGCCCCCGCGGGGGCTGCACCTTCCCATCCCCTTGTCCCAGATGCAGGAGGGAACCCACAAGTAGTTTCCCAACCCTTGTGTCCCACAGCTGTGGGTTACCCTCGGTGCCTGCCTCATCCCCGTGTCCCACAAACACAGGGACACATGGGGAGGCCACCCAGACCCGTTGTCCCACACAGGACCGTGGTGAAGGCTCGATGGGGCACTAAACACCGCCACAAGCCCTGGACCTCCATCTGCTCAAGTGGGGCCCCTTCCCACCAACCACATCACGGGGACCTGTGGCCCCAGAGGCTCTGGTGGCAGGGAATGATGAGAGGCCCTTCTCCCGCCGCATTCTCGGTCCTCGTCATATCCATGTGCAGCTCAGGCAGAGCAGGTCGGGGTGTCCCCCATGGGGTTTCTGCTGTAGCGGTGCCTGTCCACAGATTCTGCTCTCTCTTCCCTTCCAGGCACAGGGAGCGACGGAGCTGAACATGATTATGAAACTATCGATGACACCATCCAGAAGACAGTGCACAAAATGCAGGCCATTTTCCCCTTCTAGTCCTCTAGTCTGTGAAAGCCACCCAGCCTCCAAGCACCCCGAGACCTTACGTGGCACTGGTTCCTTGCAGAGGCTCAGTACCGCCCTGGGGATGCACAGCAGAACCTCTGCTCATCTCAGTCCTGCAGAATGGTGTCCACGTTCTTCAAAGGCAAGCAGCCTGCACGGGACAGCCCTGGGCACAGACTGAATCCCCCTGTTGTGCTATGTCCTCAGCTACCACCCGTGGGACTCTCCAACAGCACCAGACCAGCGTATGGCTGGGTGGACACCAAGATGCTGCTGAGATGCCAGCACATCTGATGAGAGGCCAGGGACATGGGCCTCGCTCTGCTGTGCTGTGCTGTCAGGTGCCTGGGCTGGGATTAGAGGGTGCTTCCTGATGGATATACGCTGGGGCCAGCATGTCTGTTTGGCACATGGGGAGAGGTAGAAGCATGACAAGGCCCTTCACACAGTACAAGCTGTGCCCCAGCTGGGGCTCAGCGCACCCAGTGACATGTTCTCACGGTTGCCTGTCAGAAACCCGCTTCTTTAAGGCAGAAGCTGCATTTTTCTCAGGTACAGCCAAAGTTGCTTCTCCCTCTGGCCCGATTTCTACACCAAGGTTGTAGAAACACTGTAAAAATGTTGTGGCTTTAGGTTTTGCTGGTTTTCTCATCCATGTTTAACTGCACTTGCAGCGGGAAGCAAAGCCTGTCCTATAGGCACCCCCCCAGTCCCCTCTGCTTGCAGGCGTGCTTGTGGCACTCTTTCACTCTTGGCACTAGATGCAAAAAAATGATGTGAAAACCAAGTAAGGACCAAAGTTCAACTCTTCTTTCCCTGGAAATTTGGCAAAACCCTAGGGAAGGGGCAGAGACAAAGACCTGATGGTCCTAATGTGCATTAATGGAGAAGAGCAGCTGATGAAGGGAGAGCTTTCCCCTGAAAGCAGGCAGGGGTGTCTCTCCTGCATCACATACTGTGCTCCTTTCTAACCAGAGCTGGAAGATAAATTGTAAATGTCATTTAAGATCAAATTGTTGGGGTTTTTCCCCTCTCCCAGTGAAGAGCTTTGGGTTTGGTTTTTCAGTTCATGTTATTATTCCTCACCCAGCACCTTGGGCAGAGTCCTAACACTGCAGAGAGGATCTCAGTCATTCTGACCTGGCCTTGAACAGTGCCAGGATGCAGCAGCCGCAGCTTCTCTGGGCAGCCTGTTACCTCCACCCTGACACATCATCAGCAACAACCCTGCTGGTTCCTAACTTAATCTTATGCTTCAAAGATAAAGAAGAAAAACGTGTTCCATGTGATGTACTGAATTAGACCTTCAGCTAAAGTACTTCTGGTGGCAGAAATGATCCTGGCTTTATTTGTAACACTGACACATGTTGCTTTCTTCACTAGTACTAAGAAATTATTTGTGCAGACATTTACTTCAGTGTGACCCTTTAAAGCCATTTACTTCAAAAGCTAAGGAAAAAAGAGCTATGGGTAAAGAAACTCTTCAAGCAGGAGCTGGGTTTTACCCACGTGGGTAGGTTATGTCAAGGCAGACAGTGTTCTTTAGGGAAGAAGAAAAGCCTCTGGAGCCACACACAGGCAAGGCTACCCAAGTTAAGAGTTTATTGGAAACATCCAAAAGCTCTAGTAACAAGATCACCTGATAGTACAAATATAGATCTAAATGCATAAACTAAACCAGTGAAAAATCTAATCATGATTACTGTACATCAGTGGAATCTTACTCTTGGCTACCCACTTTGTGAAGGAAACGGAATGAAAGCTGAGTCAGGAGAAACAGCTCTAGAAACAAAAGACAGGACAAGATTCGAAAGGGGTTCTTTCTAACACAGGCATCCTCTAAGGAGTCAAATACAAACTGAAGGCGCTGAAGCTTTGAGGAGTTCAGTCTTCCCAATCTGTCCATGCTTTCAAACACATGGTCACAGCATATAATCAACTCCACTTAATAGAATCCTACATGTTGTGCTTGTCCTTGAATTCCAGGGAGGAGGCACTCAGAGTAACTGGGACTTTCAGAGGGGAGAAAGGGCAAAGACCATCTTCCATATCACAAAGCTCAGCAGGATAACTTGAAATATGGACAAGCATTTGCTTAGAACTAAATCCAGCTGGAAGTAGCTTCACTCAGCATCTGTTGACTTGTAGTGATCATCATCCACAGTGGAGTAGATGTGTCCCTCACTGCTAAGGAATTCAACGGCTTGCCTTGAAGGAAAAAAACAACCCAACAGTTGCTGACTAGCTCTTATCAACCCCCTTCTCTCAAGGTTTCCCATCCCCACTGTTCCCTTCTGGTGTCTGCCAAGGTTGTTCTCAGTGCCCCTGTGTTGTGAGCAGTCCAAGTGCTGCTCCACCACCCAGCAGGTCTAGAGCGCTTCTCTAAAGCTATGGCAACATGCTCCCCAACCAGCTCTTGGACTCTGCCCGCCACAGAGGGAAGGCCACCACGCTCCTACATCCCAGGTAAAAGCAGTACCTACCACTCTGCTTCAAAGGGACTAGAACACAGAAAGATAATGGCCATTAATTACTGGTTTTCTAAGCCTCAAGGAGAAGTTGTTAGAGACAGCAAAGGAGGACAGAAACAGTCTATTCCCAAGCTTTGATCAGCGTGCAGAGAGTAAGGTAGGCCTTGAACAGGAGAAGCTACTGCTGAGACCCTGCAGCACTCCCTGTGCTGTTAGTTTGCTACTGAACTGTCACTGAAAAGAGGAAGCAAAGCATTTTATCACCCCTTCAAGTGCCACTGGCTCATTCTAAGCTCACTACTGCATCCTACTGGGAACATCTGAACCTACCAGCGCTGTTCCACAAGCAAAGATCAGGGCTTGCCCACTATTTCCCTCCCTGCCTCCTTTTACCAAACTCCAGGAAGGTCTGTCTGGTTCGTTTCTACAGACTTACTTGATGGTTGACATGCTCACGTTCTGGAGCTGAACACTCAGCTCTTGAAGACTCATGCCTTCTGGGACAGGGCAGTTTTTAATCAGGTTCAGCACCTGGAAAAGCAAGAACCACTGTCAGCACACAGCTGAGCTTCTCTATCAGGGATGGACAGCAAGGCTGGGGAAGCACTATCCATCTTCCAGAGTCACTGAGCTTTGTCCTACATCACTGCAGCAGCCTCCACTGTGGAGCTGTTGGCACCTACCTGAGTCTGGTGTGCTGTGAGCCCGTTCACTGGCAGGCTGCCACCTCCTCCATAGCCCCCCACTTCACCCATCCCAGTGCCGAACGACTGAGGGGCTTTTGATGCTGGCTGAAATAGAAGAGTAAAACTGCTGTGGTGACACCAGCTGAAAGAGTCGCTGTTATTTCAGGAATTACAAATAGATTCCCCAAAGAAACCACTGGAAACAGACTGCAACACAACCTCTCTCAACAAGGAAGCCAGGATTCCTGTTACACCTTCACTGCTGCACCAGCTTTAAGCTTTCCAGCCCCACAAGTGGCCTACAATTTCCCCAACAAAGCAAGAGGTCCCTCTCTCTGGGAGATAAGCAGTGACCCGGTCAGAGCCAAGATCAAATGAGGATCTTCAAGTACATACCATAACGTTTCTGCTGAGGAGCATATGTGCATGGACAATCTCTAGGATGTGTGCGGTGAACTCATTCATGTTTTCCAGAGGCATGATCTTAAATGCCACCAAACTTCTCTTAGTCTTTCAGGGAGGAAAAAGAACAAAGCAAAGAACAAAAATTAACATCACAGAAGCAGGAAGGTACCAGTTCCAACCATTCTCTCCAGAACATGGATGGTGGTGGTAGAGAACTTGTCTGCATGTAACTAGTCCAAAATATTCTGACTTAGTTTGATGCTGGGCTGCACCCCCAGAACATAAGCAGCAGGTCAGGGAGGGGATCCTGCCCCTCTGCTGCGCTCTGGGGAGACCCCCCCTGCAGCCCTGATCCAGCTCTGGGGAACAGCACAAGAGGGACGTGGAGCTGCTGGAGCGAGGCCAGAGGAGGCCCCGGAGCTGCTGCGAGGGCTGGAGCAGCTCTGCTCTGGAGCCAGGCTGAGAGAGCTGGGCTGGGGCAGCTGGAGAAGAGAAGGCTCCTGAAGGGGACACCTTAGAGCAGCTCCAGGGCCTAAAGGGGCTCCAGGAAACCTGGAGAGGGGCTTTGGACAAGGGATGGAGGGACAGGACAAGGGGAATGGCTTTAACCTGCCAGAGGGGAGATTGAGATGAGCTCTGAGGCAGAAGCTCTTCCCTGTGAGGGTGCTGAGGCGCTGGCACAGGGTGCCCAGAGGAGCTGTGGCTGCCCCATCCCTGGCAGTGTTCAAGGCCAGGTTGGACACAGGGGCTTGGAGCAACCTGCTCTAGTGGAAGGTGTCCCTGCCCGTGGCAGGGGTTGGAGCTGGAGGAGCTTTAAGCTCCCTTCCAAATCAAACTATCCTATGATTCTGTACACTTATTAGTTACGAGGCACTACCTCACATAATATGCTACAAGAAGCATCCCCATTAACCAAAACCCACCCTAAGCTCTACAGCACAAATACCCAAGAACGTGGTGGCCAGTGCTCTGTTCTGCTGAAAAACAGCATTTTAAGTGATCCCTCTGTCCTTTGCAGTCAGGGACAATTAAAGTGTTATTAAATACAGCCCTGGCAAAAAAAAACAACATCCAAGGATTTGTCCACAGGAAAGGATGAGGAAATACCACGATTAAGTGGATATTATAAAGGAAGCCCACTAACACTGGGCCAGATCATCAGTCCTCAGGCTCCAGCCTCATGACCTGGGTACCCAGCCATGGGTGACGTGATCTTACCTGGAAAAACCGAACATGACCAACAACTTTCACGTAAGTTCCTGGAGGTATCACCACGTTCTCGCTACCTGCCTCCTGACAGAGAGGAAAAGGAGAAAGGAAGGGTTTTCTGAGTCATAGTTCCACTTCCTAATAGATGGCTTAGGAAAGGAGGCTTATCTCAAGCAAAAAACAAATGGCATGTTCAGTAAGAGCAGTTGGATAAACATAACCATAAATAAAAGAGAACAAAATACTTGTTCATTAGAGTGCACTATACACGTGACAGCAGTCAAAGGCAGTTGTTTTTGAAGGTGCCATCTCTGTTCACCCCTCTTTGTATTTCCACAGAAGTCCTGAGCACACATCTCTCAGTCCAGCTATGAAGTAACAGTCCAGCTTCAGCTACTACACTCTAAAAGGTTATACAAAGTGATTCAACGTAGGATCACACGTGAACTACAAAACAGGAAAAGTCACGTACAGCACCAGTGATCTCTGCTACAGCAGCATCTCCCATGGATTTCAGAGACATGTTACCCTGAAAACATGTTCAGAAAAGCCACATCTTTTTGATCAAATGTCCTGGGAGGAGCAGGGAATTAGACTTGATCCTTACAGGTCCCTTCCCACTGGAGACATCCTGACCCTACAGCTTCCCTCCCTTCACTGCGCCCAAAAGCTTTTAAAGTGCATCTGTAACGCATCTGAGGCTCACATCAGTGTCGACCCACTGCCTGACATCCATCGGGGCTGCCGTCATGTCGTCCACTTTGTACAGAATGTTTGTCGGCGCCTTCTCCGAGTGCCGGATGATCCCCACGATGGTGACCTGCGGCGGAGCAGGGACGTCTGTTCACGCAGGGAGCCCGGGG